AACAGAGAACACTGAGTTTACACAGTGCAATTAGAAAAAATTTACATCGTTAGAAAGAGATGCCGGTCACGGTAGCCCAAAAGTCTAAGGCATGTACTGTATTCGCTTGCTCAGAAGCCGGGATCGTGGGTTCGAATCCCACATAAGACATGGATGTTTGGTATGTGTGTTTATTTTGTTTGTGTTATCCTGTGTGTCGGTAGAGGCCTTGCGACGAGCTGATCACTCATCCAAGGAGTCCTACCGTCTGTAAAATAATCAAAATGAAAAAAGAAAACTCGACACCGAAAGGCATAAGAGGAACGGATTAAGTCAGTAAGTACAAAGAGATAAGTGTGAAAATTAAACTTAAAAACTGTATTATTTTGTATTAAATAAAAAGATTAACAATAATATTTACCTGATTCAGAGAGATTTTAATTGAATGAAGAATATTATGATATTTGCGTTTGCAATGCTGATATCTTAATCTGAATCCAATGCCAGAAGTTGACGCCACAGCCGTTTTGACGTTTTGTGGACTGATCTGTCTTTGAGGTTGTTCTTATATCTCATCTAAAAGGAATTTAGCTGGGAGTTTCTTTACTTATTAAGATCTGAAAATGACGTGTGTGGAGAGCTATGCAGTTGTGATGTAACAGACAGTGACTCCTCTTTCTTTTAAACCGTTATTTGTAAGAAATTGAAGAACACGCGTGTTCCTGGTGGAGTCCTAAATAAATGAGCCATACCTTTGTAAATACGAACCTAATATGTATGGAGTAATGGGAGATTATACGTGGTTGAGCAATATCATATCCCGTTCATCGGTATACTTCCATTTTATAAATTTCTAGTTCTGTTTAATGACGCTGTCAGTAACTCACATTATATAACCTCGAATGGTAGGATGACGTTGTGACATGTAGGCATTTCTAGGAAAAGAACTCTTGGACAAACTGTCCAAACTGGGTGTTAGACAAAAGTTTCCATGGATATGAAAATGGTAGTTGTAAACTCTTGAAAACGAGTTCCTGGCTACAGATTCAGAGGTCCGGGTTCGATTCTCAGCGCTATCACATTTTCTGAACGGGGTCTGGAACGGGGTCCACTCAGCTTTGTGGGGATAATTCAGGAGTTACTTGAATGTAAAGTAGCGACTCCGGTCTAGAAAATCGAAATTAACGGTCATGGGAATTCGTTGCGCTGACCACCTACACACTCTATCAGCAAAAGTTGGCATTAATTAATTAATTTTTAATTCGCTTAGGGGGGGTAGATCCAACTGGGTCCACTCGGCACGGTGACCACTGATTGACCTATTGTACCTGCACCGGGTGAATATGATGATGGAGAATCTGGTGGAATGACGATTGGCAGGGGAAGCCGAAGTACTCGGAGAAAACCCAACACAGCGCCACTTTCTTTTTCCTTGGCACTACAGCCCCAGTGGGCCTAGGCCTACCTCCATGAACTACTCGGTTCACTTCGGTTTTTCTAGATCTTAGACATACAGTAGGACTCCTTGGGCGGGTGATCAGCTCGTCGCAAGGCCTCTACCTGTACACAAACACAGAAAAACGCATACAAACATCCATGCCCTGAGTGGGATTCGAACCCACGATGCCGGTTTCCGAGCGAGCGAAGACAGTGCATGCCTTAGACCGATCGGCTACCGTGACCGGCCAGCGCCACTTTGTCCACCACAAACCCCACTTGATCAGAACCGGGATCGAACCCGGGCCGCCACCGTGGGAAGCCAGCGACTAACCGCTTGAGCTATGGCGCGGCCAAAGTTGGCACTAACTTCGCCGACAAGCGGCGGTCGCTCGGTCGGCATAGTTTGCTTGTGGACTAAAATCACGGAGTTCGTTCTTTATATTGTTTTGGAGCTCCGTCTCTAGATCGCTGGTGAGATATACTGAGAATTTGAGTGATTTTACATAGTTCCGCGAGAAGATATAGGGACACTCATTTGTAACCAGACGTCGTCTCATTTGCCATCCGTGCTCTATCATTATTTAAAAATGTCTTGTCATCATCAAGTAAAAGAAATTACGAAGTTTTAAATATCAAAGTTAATTTGTAGACGTCGTATAGCCAATGCAGTTGAGAAAGCGACGTTAAAGAGTCTAAGAATCATGGGTCACTAATGAATACGTATAAAAATATCTGAAACGCATACGTAATAAAGTCATTATGCAATCTGTTCAATATTCATTTCAGAAGAAAGAAACATATTCAAATTACAGTGCTCAAGAATTACATGTTTGAGAATAAGTGTGCAAGAAGTATTGTTTGAGAGAGCTATACAAAAAGAAATAAAGTATCCAGTGGTTTACAAATCGAAATTATGAAGGAAGCGGTCCAATTAAGGCGGAGTTCTGCAACAAAGATGCTTTTCGAAAATGCATGTGCTTTTTTATATTTCATTCTCTCAGCATACCACGCAAAACAGAAATAAAATACCTAGGTATGACTATAGACAACAAACTAACATGGAAGCAGCATGTAGTCAAGAAACGAAAACAAGTAGACCTAACCATTAAACAGCTAAACTGGCTAATAGGCAGAAAATCAAAGCTAACAGTCGAAAATAAAATTCTGATCTACAAGACTATAGTCATTCCTATTTGGACGTACGGCCTGGAACTATGGGGCTGCGCCAGCAAATCCAACACAGCAATAATCCAAAGAAGCCAATCTAAGATCCTACGAATGATAGTCGACACGCCACGGTATGTCTCCAACGCAAATCTCCACACCGATCTCGGTATATCTCACGTACAAGACGTCATCCAACAAAAAAGCAATAGACATCACAACAAAATCATAACTCACAAAAATCCACTCCTAAAGACGCTATCGATAAGAGAAGGCAACAGACGCCTCAAGCGAAACTGGCCAATTGACCTGATTTGAATTTCTGAGGATTCGCCGCTGGACGCCTCATCATGTCATCTAAACACCCATAACATTAGCTTGTAGAATGTATATTCTGATTGCTGATTAAACAAAAAAAAAAATTCTCTCAGCAGGCGTAAGTTTGGTTTTCGGAAAGTTAAATAGCGTTTAGAAAGGAAGCACAGATCTACTTTTACAAGATGGAAGGCAGATGGGTGTCAGAAAAGCAAATCATCTTCATGAACGGAAGGTTAATTTTACTCAACATGTTACAATCTGCTTTCTGAAAGGCAAAATGATATAATTAATGCGACTCTGAAGATTGTGCATTGCTTATCTTTGCTTTTATTTGGTTCATCCCGGTCCGTCACACTAACAATAATACAAAAGTTCAGTCAACTTCGGCTAGTGTGACTGATAAAATGTCTTTTCTTTATTTCCTTTTTAATCTTTAATCCTTTACATGTTTCGGTCTCAGAGACCAGCTTCAGAAGGATATGTCAANTTTCTGAGGATTCGCCGCTGGACGCCTCATCATGTCATCTAAACACCCATAACATTAGCTTATAGAATGTATATTCTGATTGCTGCGGGCAGGAACAATATAACAGTATAACAACGCAGGGCGGCCCGAACAACAGGACGACACTAAAGAGTCCTATTTTTCAAACAACAGAACTAGGACGTGGTAGACACTCAAATTCCTCTAAAGAGAGGAAATATAAAGAACAAGAACGAAATTGGTTCTGAATTTTAACAAAATCTATTTTAAACCACACTTGTAAACAGACTAATTGCAATAATTTATAAATATTTTAATGTATTCATGCACGTCGCTGAAGTTGTTAAAGGCTCAGCTTTTATATTCATGACATTGTGATGATACACTATGTATGTACTGATATTGACCAATCACATTGTAATAGTAGCTTCTTCCCGTATTGATATATCCTTCTGAAGATGGTCTCTCAGACTGAAACATGTCAAGAATGAAAGATTAAAAAGGAAATAAAGAAAAAACATTTTATCAGCCACACTGGACGGAGCTGATTAACCTTTTGTCTTTGCTTATTTCTCTAAAACCGAAGGAAGCAGTTGACCAATTTTGTGAAACCTATCCTGAACACCATAACGTTTTGTTGACAACCAGATATCATATATCACAGTAAGTGACCTATAACAGGCTAAAACTCAAAGTATAAAGGTAAAAAGATAAAGCTATCCCTGTAACAGACCGTGAAGCGTTGTGAGACGTCGAGACTCCCACACTTTCTAGAAAATCGGCTCGCAGATGGCGGTGAGGTTGTTAGCCTTATGTACCGGCCGCCTTTTATTCCCAGGAAGATTCCTGGTACTCATTTGTCTTAGAAGCTAAGTGGAACCCAGGGCCATAGTGCGGCTAGAAGTGTTAAATCAATTGAAAAATCTAATTAAATCATCGGGAATCAAACCGGCGACCTTCCGACTTGTAGCATAGTTTCTCAACCAACTACGTTACCGCGTCGCCCTTTCTCCACACATAGACCTATATATTCTATATATAAATATAAATAATATATTGCTGGATACATTTCATTTGTATTTTTCAAGCAACGAATCCCAGAATTCAAACGAAACTGGGCAGTTGTAAGCTACCGTCCCCAGCGATGTTCGAAGTCATCAATGTTGAATCCCAAACTCTTTGCCATAGATTAATGAAAGCTACTCTTTATTATCGAGTGTAAACTTGATTTATTGTAAAGAAATTGTTACATTTACTTTGTGAAAATAATCAGAGAAGCTTATAAACATGCAATAATTTATAAAATGAATACTTGAAGCAAGGATGATAATAAGCCCATGTACTCTATGAAGCAGATATATGTCATACGTTGTGTAGGCAATCTTGTGAAAGAAAAGTCCTTTGTAAATTTCTTTGGAATTTCCCACCGACAAAAAAATATCAGGAGTGTATTGAAAGCAGAATCTAGTAACTTTCTGACATGACAACGATCTACGTCACTAATCGCCGATGACGTACACTCGTTCCCATATTGGATGGAGCACATCAGTTGCAGCTGTTCCGTTTGAGTGTCATGTTTTCTCGAAGTGTTTTGCTGAAACTGCATGCGAATTACCTTGTTCGATTACGAATCATGCATCCGCTTAAGAACGGTGTAGTAGGCATATACCTTGTTGGCCATCTGGAAACAGTAACAATACAAATTACGGGTGTAAAGTTCGTGAAGTGTTATATAAGGGTGAGAGAATACTAAATTTAATGATTAAACGGTTCTGTTTAAATGTCTCCCCTATATTTAAGGGCCTTTACCGAAATTCTCTCTACTATTATGAAACACATACCGCTCTGTTACACCTCAGGGGGAGGGGGTGAGAACTTATAATCACTTTCGTCTGTTATTCTCTTTCGCTAACATCTATGTTGCACTCGGCTGCCGTCGGCGGTCTTGGCTAGGGGAGCTCGGGCTGGGTTGAGGACAGGATGGTTACTAATGGGCGAATCAGAACTCCCTGCGTACATTCTCCACTATGTACACTTGTCTATTTACAATCATAAATACATTAATAAAAAGGCCTGCTCTTATCTGTTACATGACATATCTCGCTAAACTCATTCTACCGTCCTAGTTGTGAAGGGGAGGTGCCCTGAACTGCACTCCTATCCTCGTCTGCTACTGTACATTCATTCCTACCCGGTTCGACCCTGACTCTCACTTGGTTCACTGGATACTGCCTCATTATCTCACAATAACACTTGTATTAACACAACCTTTAACAGCATGGCGTATATGAGCAACTAGACTTACTTGCAATACAAATGTAGATTACAGCCGTTGTCCACCCTCTTATGGAATACATGTCGTCGAGAGCCTCCGGCTGACAACTGAATATTCTGTTAGAACATGATCACAGGTCCCCCGAAATTCCCTAATTTATGGTTTTATTTCGCTGATTCAGCCTTGACGAAAGAGGGTGGGTGACTCCCCTCAGTGTCCTCAATCCTCCTAATAACCTCCTCATTGGCTCTCATGGGTGGATGGGGGCGGACCCCCTTGCGTCTCCTTGCTGTGTAAGCAGTCTTTCACGAGTAATCCAGTGTACGAGTGAGGTAAGCTACTGGCTTTGTGGTACACCGAGACTTGCTGAGTCTTCACATTCTTAACCTACTTGCCAGTCCCGGTGTTTACAATTTACGGCAATAACTGCGAAACTCTTTTCGCAAGTCTCTAGCTTTGGGTAATACCATACCCTCTCTAATCTCAAATTTGGGGCATCACACGCTCTGTCGCTAGTATTTGTGCATGCCGGAAGGTCGCGGGTTCAAGTCTCGATGAGGTCATTGGGTTTTTTTCAAATTGACCTAATCCTTCCAGCCGCACTATGGCCTTGGGGACGACTCAGCCTCTCAGGAATTAATTAAATAATTTTCCTGGGGAGTAAAGCGCGGCCGACGCGTAAGGCTGACAACCTTGCCGCCATCTTTGAGCCGATTGTCTAGATAATGTGGGACCCTCGACGTCTCACAATCCTGTGGGCCTTCACGGCATGTTACAGGGATAACTTTACTTTTTTTACCGTAACTACCGGTATTACAACCGTGCGCAATTATTTCGACAGAGTTTTTGGAGTCAGTTCGAACCCTCATTCACAATATTTTCTTTTTGTTTTCATAATTATTTTATAACTACGCGAGTAAAATTAATTTCTTAATTTGAGTGTTATTCATTCATTTAATGTTTTCACCTTTGGCGCTACAGCTCAAATTTGGGCCTTAGCCTACCTCCATGAAACTCTCCTTTTCACTTCGGTTTACTAGATCTTAGACATTCGGCAGGACTCCTTGGGCGGGTGATCAGCTCGTCGCAAGGTCTCCACCTGTACGCAAACACAGACAAACGCACACACACAAACTAATATCCATGCCCTGGGTGGGAGCTTCCGAGCGATCGAAGACAGTGCATGCCTTAGACCGTTCGGCTACCATTACCGGCCATTTAAACTTTACATACTCTAAATTGTTATATTGACAAGGGAAACCACATACCAGGGGGGGGGAGTAAAGGTGTCCCTGTAACAGGCCATGGAGGCCCATAGGGTTATGAGATGTTGAGGTTCCCACATTTTCTAGACAGTCGGTTCATAGATGGCAGCAAGGTTGTCAGCCCTAAGCGCCGGCCGTCCTTTACCCCCAAGAATATTTTAAGAACACTACTGGTACTCATTTCTGTCAGATGCTGAGTCGATCCCAGGGCCATAGTGCAACTAGAAGGATTGGGTCAATTGAAAAAGATCCAATGAACTCATCGGGACTTGAACCCGCTACATTCTGGCTTGTAGCATAGTGCCTCAAACAACTACGCTACCGCGTGCCGCCATACCAAGGGAATATTCTTAATAACATATTTCTTACATGCCTAGACTTTCTGGTTTAGAGATGTATTTATATCGATTTAAAGGCATTTCCTTCTGACAATAAAAAGAAAAGAAACTCCGTGGTTTTAGTCCGCAAGCGAACTATACCGACCGAGCCACCGCCTCTTGTAGGCGAAGTTAGTGCCAACTTTAGCGGATAGAGGGTGTCGCGTGGTCAGCGCAACGGATCCCGATGGCCATTAATCTCGGTTTTCTAGACCGGAGCTGCTATTTCCTTAAATAGCTCCTCAATTATCCTCACGGGGCTGAGTGGAGGGGTCCATCTCTTTCTTATACTAAAAATAAAATGGATATATACTTTACATCAGAAAATGTTTCCAGCGATACAATAAAGAATCTCCCGGCGTTGAATTTTGTAGGCTTCTGGGAACGCATGATGAGCAGAAGTAATATTCTTTTGAACCGTGCTGTTCTGGTGTACCATCCACAGCGGATGGAGGCTTCTTGCACGGACAAACTCTGTGAGAACAGAAAACACCACAATTACGTTTGAAGCCTGTAGTGTAGAAAAACTATAAATTATTAAATATTTGGACTGAAGAAGAAGGACTTATAAGAAAGAATGTTCTAACGTAGAAGGGAGGTTAATATTTAACGGATCTTTACAACGTAAGGCTTCAGCTAGTCTGATTTGTAGGATTTGAGGTCTCACACCGGTGGTTATAAAGAGTTCAATCTTTGAGGTAAGCGCCTTTTAGTATGTTGATAATCGACGTTTCGGAGGAATATATCGTCTCTGTAGTCAGGGTTGAAGAGTAATCCAAGCAAGAAACCGGCATGAAGCAGGCAGGAAGTAGCATTAAAAATGGAGACAGGTTCCTCCGAAATGTCAATTGACAGTCAGTATCATACAGGCGTTATACCCCACAAGATATAATTGTAGACCGCTTTGGCTCACCGGGATAGAGAGCTTATAAACAGGGCAACAGGACTCTGCTGCAACAGTAAGTTGTATTAATTCTAAATGGAAACAGACCAGAGGGCTTAATCCTTGATAGCCGAAGAATTATACTAACATTCAATTTATCTGACTTTAAGTTATACAATATTGACACGTATTTATGTCAGTGTGAATAATAATAATGGAGTTTGACTGGATGATTGGATTTATTAACACATCTTTTACAACCTCTCTTAATAGAAATCAATTACAGTAACACACAATTAATCTTCAGCGGAACGCTTCTTCCTGGGCTGCCGAGGACTCGCTCCATTCTCCTCCTCTGTCGGTTCTGATTCTGTTCTGTACCATTTATATAGTCTCGAGGCGGACCCGTAGAAAACACTGTTGTATTTACAGCGCCGTTGGATAGCAGTGGAACTTATCCGATGGTTTCCTGCGTATTTTTTGCTGCGGGAATATGTTTACCGAGTCGTTGCCTATCAATGGGTCTACATTTCACAATATAAATAATTTATTAAAAACTATGGAAGCTAGACATTACTGCTGGAATGTCTTAGCTTCATTTTCTATAAGGTAAGATAAATACAAGGTTTCCTTAATTAATTAAGCACCGCGCCATAAATACGTATCGGGGAGTGGATGTAGAGCTCCACCGATCTTGATCTCGGTAGTAGATGGAGGTCAGTGGGCAGCTTCACATCCCTGACACTTCAGTCTCGGAGAGAGATTCGTTGATAATTGTGGACCACAGAGCGGCCTGGACGCTGTGAAGAAGAGAAAAATCTCTTTTCCCTGCCGGGAATTGAAGCCCAGTCGTTTAGCACGTAACCCGACGCTATATCGACTCAGCTATCCCGAATTCAAACCTTCCTTTCTTTTGGCAAACATAATACATGTGCTGTTAAGTTAGGTTTACGTTGAACTTTTTATTTGGAGTTACTAAGAATTTGAATTTAATATCATAAATATACCTGTTCAGTTAGGCGTTCCCCAAACCAGCAGATTATGAAAATAGGGTACCAAACACCCAGTGCTGCAGCAATTAGTCTGAAGTTTATTCCCTCCTCCGACCCCTGGAAACTTATGTATTATTAGTGTAGGCCTATCAGTAAAGTTTTATTTTACTTTTAATACAAACAACACAACTTTATGGTGCCTAATGTTTATTTCGAAATCCACTAGCTTCTTGAGACCCCTTTTATTAGGTCATCTTCACTTGGTACATTATCGGAAAGATTAACTGGTGAATTGTTTTGAAGTATTTATCTGTGGCCCTACAGTCCTTGTAGACCTTGGTCACTTCTTCACTTTCTTAATCCTATACACAGTCGGTAGGACTCCTTGGACGAGGGATCAGTTTGTCTCAAGGCCGCTACCTACATAGAATAAACGCACAGACGTCCATGCCTACAGTGGGATTCGAACCCACGATCCCAGTGTTCTAGCGGACGAAAACAATTCATGCCTTAGCACGCATGGCTGCTGTGATCAGCCAAAAGGAATGTCAACAGCACGTGGTGTTTGCAACTGGTCACCTTTCCCATTACCAACCACGCCCAATGTTGCTTAACTTCGATGAGCAGGTGAGAACCGCTGTTTTCAACACGATATGGCCGTTGACTCTGTGTTTTCTAACTTGCTGAACTTAGAGCCAGTGTTCCATTAGTTTACGTGATTGTTTCATGTTTTTAATTTTCTAAGGAGTTTGTATGAATTTTTCGAGATAATTAGCACACAAAAGATAAAATTAAAAAAAACTAAGGTAAAACAATAGTAAAAGGCAGAATGCACATATATTATGGCGTGTATTTAATTTCCATAATGCCAGAACAGAAAATAA